TATTTGGCCGAGAACACTTTGTGGCCACTGCCATTGGCCCTTCCCCTATCCTTTTCACTGAATGGTAACTCCACCTGTGAATTCCTTGTCCGGCATGGCAGCTGTATTTAACCCAGGTAGTCTCAGATGATTCTGGAACCCAGAATGTTCACCAGTCCTGTATCTGACCTGCATGGTGGAAAGCAATATCCTCTTATGGTGAGATTAGCAGAAGGCGTGGTGAGAATTGCTGGAGAGAGGTCCTGTTTCTTGGTGATTTATAAGATCCACCTCCTGACTCCCAGGCAGAAATGGAAAGAGGAAGGATGCTGTTCTGTAGCCAGGGTGTCTGCTTTCAGACCTGGCAGGGAGAGATGGAGCCCTGTGTTTTGGTTGAAGCTTTTCAGCCTTGTCCTAGAAAAGCTCAAAAAGCCCTCTATCCCTCTCAGCCTCCACCCAGCAGATGAGATGGCAATAAAAAGGGATGTTAAGCCATTGTAGTCCTTCACATTGACTCTGTATGGTCCCTGCAGCCATACAATGACTGTCCTGCCCACTTTGATTTTCCTTGGTACTCAGCACAGTGTTGCCATCTTGTTGACTGGAATCTCTTGTTTACACTTTGCTCTTTTATTAGTTCTGAGAACCCTGAAAGTCAGTCTGTACCAGTGATTGGGTTCTTGTTTCCCATTTCCACGCTTCTGTCTTGGGATTTGCCTCAAAGAATAATGTCTTGGTGATGTTTGTACATATAATTTTTGCACTGCAGTTTTCCCTACGTAAATTAACTTGTTTTCAAAATTCAAATTTTATGTATAAGATTGCTTGAAGTAATTGTGAATTCATTAACTGTGTTATTTCTTTAAAAAGAATTCAAGAGCAACCTCAGAAGCATTGGCAGATGCCCACAGCCATGGTGAATGACAAGTGTAGGTTTTAGAGTTAGCCACCTTGACCTGAGGATGTTGATCAAGTATCTGAAGAGAATTTAGAAGTGATAATTGTGAAGAACCTGACTTGTGAGGGTTCTGTGGAAAGTAAGTGAGGTCAGATGTGCAAAGTGATGGTGTAGGACACACTGAAAAACCTTTCTGTTTCATTATTACTGGTGGTTTTTTGGTAATTTTTTTATTTGGCCCATGACAGCTTGGATTGGGGCTGATATGTTCGATGTTTCTAGGGTTATTTAATACCATTATTCTCTGTCCTTTGGAAGTCTAAAACAGTTTCAAGAATCCCTGCCAGCTTCCATGGGAGCTTATGTTTTCCTTCTTCCCTTGGCACATCTTGTTTCTGGTTGTTGTAGCATCTTGTACTCTAAAGTCTCCAAACTCCCAAGGTTTGTGTATCTGGACAGTTTTGGCTAAGGCTGGATTGATGCTGCAGTAAAGCAGGCAGACTGGATTCCTACCTGCTTTACTGGGAACTGTTCCCTCCCACACCCCTGTACCTAATACAACCCACTTACAAGGAGGCATAGATGTTTCCCACAGTGTACTAAAGGATGAGTGCTGCTTGTGCTTGGGTTATGCTTCTAGGCATGACCTCTTCCTTCTGCATTACAGGATGTTTAAGTAAATTAGTGCTTGTCCCACAGTTGGAAAACAAACAAACCAGTTTTAAAAGCTAAGAAAATGGTAAGGCATGGTAGTGTATGTCTTTAATCCCAGCGTTTAGGAGGCAGAAGCAAGCAGATCCTTGTAAGTTCGAGGCCAGCCTGGTTTACAAAGAGAGTTCTAGGACAGCCAGAACTATACAGAGGAAACCCTATCAAAAGAAAAAACAAAACAAAAAAAATCAACCAAACAAAAAAAAAAATAAGAAACTTTATAGAGTCAGAGAAGAGTTTTTCATGAGTTGCATAAGTAAGTACTTGTTCAGTGACCCCTAAAAAAAGGGTCTTTTCTAGTCCTTTAAAGTATAAGACCCTAGCAGCCTCACAAACACCTAGAATCATTTGGTATCTGTATCACGCTCTTGTGGGAAATACTAATATACTGTTTACTGCTCTAGTTGGCCATGAACCTAGGAGACTGGGGCCTAAAAATGAGGTGGGCTGAAGTTTCATGCAATAGCCACCTTTATTCAGAGCATCATATAATTTATATTCTGAGGGTTCAGGAGAGTCACCAGTATTCAGTCAGGAGGACAGGCTGCAAGTAGCTAAAACATATTTCCCCATAGAGGCAGATGAATAGCAACGCCTGAAGTACCTGAAGAATTCCTACCCGCAACATCTGGCAGGAGCACAAAAACACAAGAACAATTCTGGTTTTTTTTTGTTTGTTTGTTTTGTTTTGTTTTTTAAGAAACTGGAGTCATCAGTCTCTTGTTTCTTGGAATTTTCACATAAGAGCTCAGGATTCCCCTCCTATAACTACATTCTTGGACTGTGTCCCAACAGTAGACCTTACTTTAAAATGTCTCTGGGGTGGAGTCTGAATGACCAGAATGGCCTCCGATTCTATCCCATCATGCCCTTACTTCCACACGGACAGAATTTTTGCAGTCTCAGCACTTAGGAGTTCATGCTTCTGCTGGCTTTTGTATAGCTTCTGGTCTTGGTGTTCCCAGGCCCCTTCTTGCTAAAGGACTAGTGTCTACCATGTTACCGACTCCAGTTCTGCCTTAGTCCATGTCTCAACAGCAGCTGACATAAACGTTTCCTCTGCTCCCTGACAATAAAATGTTACTTACAGCATCCTACCTGACGGTTCCTATGTGTGCTTTTCCTGTTCCTCTCTCTGAGAACTTTAAACAGTGGATTTCCTCAGATGCCTTCTTTCCCCAGTTGACATAACTCTTCAAGGTTACCTCTTCTGGTAACCTTAAACACTTCATAGAATGCCAGAGTCTACAATTTTACTGCATTTGAGCAGATCTCAGACATCACTAATAAGATGCCTCAGAGTTTTATGTCTCACAAAGGAAGAAAAGAACAACAGTGACTAAATAACACTGGTGTGCTGTCCTACTAATAACATAGATGGATCTCATTTAAAAATATCACATTTGTGGTAATCCAAAATTAACTAGTGTAATTTTCTTAGCATATATTAAATGCCATTTCCATAGTCTGTGCCCCTGTGTGTCATGTAAGTAGTCTTCTCAGGAACAGGCAAACAAGTTGTGATAACTTTGTCCAAGGTTCTCAAGTCTCGTCTTCAGGTATGAGAAGTCTTATTGCTGTGTAGATTAAGTAGGCTTGAGTTAGCTGACCAATGAAGCATAGCTTTTAAACAAGTCGGTCTTCAGGATGGTGCCAGAATTTGGGGGATTTATTTCATTTTAGGTTGCTCCAGCTACCTAAACACATGCTGTGAAGTGGCCCGACATTGCTGTCTTTATGCACTTTGTCCAATGATGAAATTGTTGTATTGATTACACATTTCTGGTATTGTTTAACACACTGGTAGATCATTTTTGGTGATTTTTTCCCTCTCATTTATTTATCCTCCATTTCTTTTTTTTCTTCTATAGCTTCAAAATTGCTTTTGACAGCTCTGGGACCTGCAAGAGTGATCAGCCAAACTTTGAGATTTAATTTTCCTACAACAGCAGCCAAAGTTAACAAAAAGACATGAGAATAATTCCATTAAGTCTTCCCATCTGCCAACAAATGTGTTCCTCCTCACTCTGTTCTACTGAGCTTTCTAAAAATACTTTTAAGAGGTATAGCCTCTTTCATTTCTGTGGGGAGGATATTCCATACTGAATATTTTACCTTAAAATATTACCTTAGTTCAATGTATTAGAATGAAGTTCGGTTTCACTAGTCCTAAGGCTATAAAAATGATTTATATTTCATTTTTACATATTGTTAATTACTATACTGACCCTAGATAATTTAGCTACATAACTTTAGACAGCTAAGTAATTTCCCCCAAAGAAATGCTATAAAGATAACATATCTTTATTTTTTCTTTTCCTAGCTGTATTATGATAGTGTTCTTAAAGTTAATTCAAACTAGAATGTTTATTAAATTAAATAAAATAATACAGCCATGTGGGAACTGAAAAAACTATGCTCATTAAATAGTTGTAAGTCAAAGAAGAGGTGAAACCTGCAATATTAGACTTTATTCAGGGGATAAAGGGGGCTATGTTTCATGGGGCTAAAGAGATGGCTCAGCACTTAAGGGCGTGTACTGCTCTTCCCAAGGTCTTATGGCTCACAGTCCCCTGTAACCTCAACTCCAGGATATCCAATGCCCTCTTCTTGCCTGCTAAGGCACCTGCACTTAGATGTACAACCCCCACCTCTACCCCCACCCCAGTGCACATAATTGAAAAAAAATAAACCTTGAAGTAGAAAGAAGTCATTGCGTTTCTGTTTCCCCACAGCCAGTACAGGTTGTGTTGTCCCTCCTGTGGTGTGTCATAGACAGTCCTACTGCAATATCCCTGACACTGTTCTGCATCAAAATAAATGAATATGTGATAAAGAGCTGTGTGGAACACCCAGCATTTGGAGGAGAGTTTAGAATCATTAGTAGGATTTACCAGTGGCTGGATGCAATTCTCAATCTTTGTGATCTCTTTATGTGCCTTTTTCTGATATGCTTGTCTCCCATATATGTCCTTATATTTCTGGCTATCGTCGTTTATGTGAAAGCAAACATCCGCATGCCATGTCTACAACTTTACAGACACGTGGAAAAGCATAGTGTTTCTTTTTGATAGAACATAGCTCATATTCACACATATAAATGCAGAGCTTTAATTCATATATATGCTGGCTTATTGCTAAATGTTGTATAGCTACAGTGAAATAAAAACACTGACCTGTTTAAAAGTCAAGGAAAGAATGCAGCCGAGAAATGTTTTGTGGCAAATTTAAAATTATGTTTTCATGACTGGTGTTTTATTATTTGATACACATTATCATAGTCTGCTGCTGAGTTAAGGGACATATTTTGGTTTAATTGTTGGAGACATTCTCTGGTGTAAGTTTTAGAGTAAATGTAAGGTTCCTGGATATTTTGTGATTGGCTCTTTTAATTTTCATGCAATGTCTCTAGGTTGAAAATGTGCGCTTGGTAGACCGAGTGTCTTGTAAGAAGGCAGCGCTGGGAACTTTGTATCTGACGGCCACTCACGTCATATTCGTGGAAAATGCACCTGACACAAGGAAAGAAACCTGGGTATGACGTCCGCGACTTTAGCCTTACATGTTTTTCATTGGTTTCAGGATGGGGAGCATGGAGTTTTAAGGGGATTTTGGAAGCGATTTCTGAGGTGTTTTAGAAAAGGAATTTCCTTCAGAAATCACAGCCATACCTGATCCACTTAGATATTTTAAACACTGATATCTAGACATCGTCAAAGATAGGCCTAGTGGTGGCTGAAGTTGCTGGAGCCTTACACATGGCCGGGAAGAAGATCGTCAGGCCTGTCAGGTGTAGCATGCTACAGTACCTGGTTTGTTATAACTGTTCTTTGCAGGATGTTTTGCACACATCTGTTGTCGTTGGAACGTTTCACACATTTTATACATTGTCCATCGGCATCCCTCCGCTCCCCTTAGTGCCTGAGCCTGCCTGCCTTTCAGCTCCATTTCCCCGTTTTATTGTAGTTGTTAATGCCCCGAGTCCACTTAGGGCAGCTATACACATGGTCATATTGTTGAGGCCATGTCCTCAGAGGAGGGTGGCTCTCCCTTTCTCTACAGCTCTCAGTTGCCAAGAGTTCCTCCAATGAGGGTGGAGCCTCAGGGGCCCCTCTCCCTTGCAGGGACTTCTAAAGGATCAGTTCTGTTATTTTATGATGTTGACGTTACTTTTCTGGTAATTTCAAAAAGAAAAGGAAAGCTAGAGACTAGTCCTATCACCAGGAATTTTTGTGTTTAATCATCAAATCAATAGACATTTCCGATGTTATGTAGCAGTACAAACATGGCATTGTAACCCTCAGCCAAAATCTTGACATATAGATTCCATTCCCTTACCCCATGGACAGGGATACACTTAGCACCAGAAGGTAGCCAGTACCTCACAGTAGACAGGAACTTCATACAGGGCTGCCCTTAAGGGCTGCCCATAGTTCTCCTCAGAAGTCAGGGAGACATGGTCCAGAATGTTTTATTTTCTTATCAGCCCATTTTCTTAATGGGATGGTTTATTCCAGAGGCTGTAGATGAAGTCAGGAGAAGGAGAATGGGGAGTTATTGATCAGAGTTAACGGTTCAGGTGGACCAAAGGACTAGACTTTGACATTGAGCATATTGTATACAAAGGTCTGTAGTGAATCATAATACATATTTCAAAATATCTTTAGTAAGTTTCAAATATATCACCATAAAAATGGTAGCTCAGGAAGTTTATGGATGTATATAATAGTGTATACTAGTTAGCTTGATTCAATCATTCCATATCCTGTCTCTCTATCAGAACAGCACACTGTACTGTGATCTGCCCGTTAAAAATAGCAAACAATGAGAAAGTGAAATATTTTCTTTTGCAGACTGCCTGACCACCAACAGGTTAGAGAACAAGTGGCCGTTGAACTTGAACATCCCATGTGGAATTAAGGAACATGGTAGCACTTCCCAGTGGAGCCATGTCTAACTTTTATTGATCACAAAAGTTTATTTTACTAACTTCCCATGAATTTATTTAATTTTAGCTATTAAATGCATCCAGCATTTGACTGCCCAAATGTTCCCTACCTGGAGCTGTGTAAATTTAAATGCAGGATGTTTTCTTTTAAAATAATAATCGTGGATATCAAAGCTTGATACTGAAAACTAAGTTACCGATTTTTATAGCTGATTCTTAAACGTTGAACCCTCCAGTTCTTGTAAGCAGAGTACAGGTGTTGAGCAAGGCATACTTTGAGGAGGGTTTCTTGTCTGTGTGGCTTGGAGACCTGACTGCCCTTTGCCACTTTTGTTTCTTATTTGTGCTCACCGTACTACTTGAATTAACTTTTGGTCCTAGATTCTTCACAGTCAGATCTCCACCATTGAAAAGCAGGCGACAACAGCTACGGGCTGCCCTCTGCTTATTCGCTGCAAGAACTTTCAGATCGTACAGCTTGTCATACCGCAGGAGAGAGACTGCCATGACGTGTACATCTCTCTGATACGCCTTGCACGGCCAGGTAGGCAAAGAGCCTCAGCATCTGATGTGTGACTTCTGGAGAGAAGCACAAGTCCTGGGGAAGGGTTTGAATTATGCTTAGGAATAGCAGTGTTTTAGGACTTGCTTGTCCTTCTTGCCCTAATAATCACCTGATACACTAACCTTGTTTTTTTTTTTTTTGAGAACTCCTCTGAGTTATTCACCACACAGGCCTCTTTTGATAACCTTTGTATTCGTATTTCCTAGATAGGGGTTATAATGTGTTTTTCTTTCAGTCTGACACCACTTTTAAAAAAAAATTATACAGCGTTGTTAATTGAGTCACTTGGTGTGAGGCGTAGGACAGAGCTTACAGGTTGTTTAGTGTGGAAAACATTTGTATCTGAAATTTCAAGTGTGTTCTTCCCCACGAAGAGTGCCCTACTTCCTTGTTTGTTTGTTTCTTTGAGACTGACAGGGTTTTACCATGAAGCCTTGAGTGGCCTGATGTCACAGGTTCCTCAGGTCTAGAATTTCAGGGGTGAGAGCCATTGTGTTGGTGTTTTGTTCACATAGGGTTTTGAGGGGGTATATGCTTGGTTTGATCATTAGTAACAACTGCCTAGGCTTTTTTGTTAGCATCCATGACTGTAGGACCCTCCGACACCCATGGTGAGAAGAATGTCTGGAGATGGAAAGTGGGCAGTCTCTATAACTGTCTTGTTCAAGCCCATGTAGTATTTTGGGTCTTCGGATGGAGAGCTCACTATATGCCTCTAAGAGAAGTGTTCCATGACTCTCTGCAAGGCTTGTGTGAGCTTGCTTAAAGGAAGTATGCTTCCAGGCTTCTTGGGAATTATAGTAAAAAGAAACCATCTAGGTTGTACACCAGAGTCACATGGAAGGCTTCACTAGGAAAGTAGGATATGTACTTCTAGTTTCTTTACACAATGATGAGAAGCTTGTGACCTCTGCAAGGCCCTGGGCTGGGTTCTGACTTCCCTATGATAGGACTGTAGCATTTGGAGGGAGCTTAGAGCCAGCGTTCCTTCATGGAAATGAGGCCTGGGAATTGTCACAATCTGGTGGTTTTTGACTTTGCTTTGTTCTTCTTTCAAGCTGAGACCTTTCCCCACCTCCTATCGTGTTAAGGATAGCTGCAGAGTAAGCCAGAAAAGCAGTTGAACTCTTTTGGAGGGTGCTCTATAATTGGAACAGCAGTTCTGGGAAGATGTAGGGTAGGCTGCATGCAGCAGAGCTTGCAAGAGGAGTTATGTGCCAGCAATTTCTGTGTCACTGATTAATGGATGTGCAGGGTAATAAATGTGCTCTGACTGGATTAATGGGATTTAGGAAAAGCTGGAGAGCTGGGAAGGGCTCAGGAGCTGAAAGAATGGCTTTAAGGGTAGGGAGGCTGTGGCGGGAGCTGAAAGGGCTGGGACTAACTGTGAGGGTCCATCAGCCTTTAAAAATGCACACTTTTTCTTAAAAAGTGACATTTCAGTCATTAAAACAATTAAAATTAAAACTATCACCTGAGCAGATTTAAAATGTCTCTAGCATTCTGAAACACTGGGATTAAAAATGTTAGGTTACGTAAGACACAGTGTTTTAATAAGTGTGGGAAGACGATACAAAGGCTAGGCAGTTCTAGAACTACTGAATGCAGCGCTGAGGCTGTGACATGTGACTGGCAGAACTGAAATCAGGAAGATGAGCAGAGGTAGAGGGGCTCAGATACCAAGCAGTGGCTCTCTCCTGGGAGCACCCATGTTTTGTCACAGAGTTGACAGAAAAACACTTCCTATCCCATCACCCTCCCCCTGTTTTTATGAGGGTGTTTGTCACAGCCAACCTTTGTACTGAGCACAGGGATGCCAATGGAGGAGTAAGCAAGCAGAAGGACTGAAGCTGCTGAAGGAGTTTGCAACCCCATAGGAAAAACAACAGTATCAACCAACCAGACAACGCAGAGCTCCCATGGAATAAACTAGGGACCAAAGAGTACACATGGAGGGACCTATGGCTCCAACTGCATATGTAGCAGAGGATTGCTTTATCTGGCATCAATGGGATGGAAGGCCCTTAGTCCTGTGGAGGCTTCATGTCCCACATAGGGGAATGCTAAGGTTGTGTCAACTCTGGGCAGAGTTGACAAAATAAGTCATTATTCCCCCTATAGGCAGGAGGAGAGGGAGGGAAAAGGGGAAGGGTGAGAGTTAGCTGGTGAAGGCAGTGCACAGTGCAGTGTCCTCGGTCAGCTCAGTCTCTTCTGGTCACGTATTCCATCTCTTGTGGATATGGCTAATTGCAGGGTACTACAGAGGCTTCTGGTTTTTTAAAGAAAAGAAAAAAAAAATGTTTGGAAGTTCAAGACCTATGAAGGAGCTATTTTCTAAGATCTGTAAGTCCTTAGAATTTCTTGGGCTACTAAAGAATTGGAAGAAATTTCACTGGTTTGCATATTCTATAAACATAGATGGGTAAGCACTTGGTCGTGGGTTAGAATGGATCCCTGTATAAGATAGTTCAGTCAGAAGAGCGAGTGGTTGGATCCATGGATGAGAAACTCCGTTAACCTGGTGGGTCTGACCTACTTGTGAGGCCCTGAAATTCTCTGAGTAAAAGATGCCTGATTCCCAGAGGGCTCAGCTTTCCCATGTGCTCCATCCCTGTATTCACCCTTCTAATTTGCCTCCTGTTTATTTTTGTATCAATTTTCTTGCTACTTTAGTGTTTGTGTGTCCTTCAATACTCAAATAATCTTAAGTTTATTTTCCAGTCCCTTTTTAAAATTATAGCCTTTTAAAGTCATCTTATTTCCCAATTTTTCTGCGTATTTTCCCCCTTTTGGTGGTGGGAATCGAACCTAGGACTTTACCCCATGCAAAGGGCTTACTGCACCACTGAGGTATGCCCGCAGCTCTGTGTATTTACTATAGCTTTCAAACATCCCATGGTTGAGTTTGTCTCATAATTTGAATCTTTTATGTTGTCTAAATCATTGATGCTTGGGTAAATTTCCAGTGGTGGTTTATTTTTGTGTGTGTGGTTGCACGTGTGTGCTTGTGTGTGGAGGCTGGAAGACCACTTCAAATATTGTTCATCAAGAGCTGGCACATCAGTTTTTTTTAGTTTTTGTCTTAGTTTGTATTTTATTGTTTATGTGCATGTGTATGTGTATGTCTGCCACCATGTATGCAGTTTCTGGAGGAGCCAGAAGAGGGCACCAGATCACCCGGCACTGGAATTGAGAGATACATGTGGTGCTGGGATCTGTAGTCTGGAAGAACTTCCAGTGCTTTTAACACTGGAGTGTCTCCAGACCTTGTGTTTTCAGAGAGAGTCTCTAGCTAGCATGGATCACAGCAAGCCGACTGCCAGAGTCAGGTTCTGTCTGCTTGTCTTGCTTCCTCAGTGATGGGATTCAGGTTGAGGCACCGTGCCTGGATGTGTTTAATGTCAGTTCCAGGACTAAATCAGGTCCGCACATCTGCAAGGCGGCAACTTTACTGACTCTCCATTTCCCATTGTGATAGTTTCTTTTTTTCTTAATTGACGATGTACATCTGAGTCTGGGAGCCCTCTTCCAAGATACTAGCTTCCACATCCCTGATGTTAATTTAAATTTGGACTTGATTAGAATTGACGGTGAAGGTGAGACACCCTTATTATTTTCATGTTAGGACTGCACAGTCCAGTAGCAGGCTATGCTGTCTTCTTACTGTCCTCTGATGGGTGTTCCATGGCGTTCATTTTGAGTTGGCTAAATTCAGTGGACTTTTAAATCTAAGGCAATTGCCTTTCGGTACGTAACAAACTCCACAGTTCTATATCCTGGTGATTGCTGGTGACCTTCACAGCTCCCTCCTCCTTTTTTTTTTTTTGAATTTTTAAAGTACTTTTAATAATAAGCCACCCTCTGTTTTTCAAAGTTACTCTACAGTGAGATAAAAAATCTCTTCGCTTTCTTCTGAATACATCCTCATAACTCTTTTCTGCTGATTGCTGCGAAACAAATCCCTTTCCTCCCTCTCAATGTCTCCCTTCTGACCCACAGCTCTGGAGTCGGCAGGTGACACCTCTTCTGTAAACGTGAGAGAAGAGCAAAGGGTCAGCGACAGGTTCCACGCTGAGTGTCCACACTTGGTGAACTTGGGTTTGCTGCAGGGAAATTCAGTTTTCTGAGGGAGAAGAGAGTGGGGAGAGAAGGCTGTTGAGCTGGTGCGGAGGGACTCCTCCTTCCCAGGGTCGGAAGACACAGTGAGCAGTGCGGCTAAAACACTGAGAGCACACATCTCCGTGCCCGGTTTTCATTATGCATCTGACTGAGATACCTGTCTGGCTTTCCAGAAATATTCCAGCTTAGTTAAGTTCATGTGATATTTTATGAATTGTGTTTGCTTTTCTGGAGAGAAAAACACTCAAGTCTGTCCTTGTTAAAGTAATTATATTGTCTCAATAGGTAGTATGCCAGAAGATATTAATACACTTTGTAACTTTCTGTAATTTAAAAGACAAGTCTTAAAATAAAAGGTGCATCTTAGATTACTCCCATAGATCAGAAGCTTGGTTTTGTTTGTTTTTTTCATTGTTGTTTTGTTTTGCTTCTGCTTTTTATTGGAGGAGGGCCAGAGTGCCCTCCTAGTCAGAATACCCTAGGATGAGGCCCTGGTCACTACAACAAGAGCTGTTTTGTTGGATGTCGTCGCACAAACTGGTAGATAGGGCAAGTCTGAGGAATACTTATTATGTCTGCAGCAAATCAGCAGAGGGAGTTGGCCTTGCTGAACAGGCAAATATTTTTCTCTCTGTTCAAAGTTAACAATTTCTATATGAAAACCTTCTATACAACAAAGGGGATATAGATGCTTGTGCATTGAATATCGTATTTGTGAGACACACATCTGATAAGGAATTGATATCCAAATTATTTAAGGTACTTAAACTCTGTGTGAAAAGACTTAAAATCCAGGTTAGAATTACAAGGGACCTGTAGTGAGAATTCAGGAATTTTGGTTTCTTTAAAAAAACACAGAAATATTATGACTATATTTGCGTTTGAATTCCAGGTGTGGGATACAGGCTGCTTTCTGGCAGTTGACTATGATTTGCTTTGTGCTCTAGCAGAGGAATGTTTTATACAGAAAAAACAGAACTCTCGTATACTGTGGGACTATAAATGAGTATCACCAATATCAAAAACATCGTGAACGCTCCTCTAAAAACATAGAGCTACCATCTGATTCACCTGACAGATTTGAAATCAATTCATTGACGAGATGTTCCCTTCCGTGTTCAGTATATCGGCATCCACAGTAGCACAGTTATTTATACACACACACACACACACACACACACACACACACACATATGCACCTGTGTGTCTGTCGGCTGATGAATGGATAAAGAAAATGAAAATGTACTGTGTCCACAGGTGTCAGTTACTTTTCTATTGCTCTGATTAAAATATCAGCAAAAGCAGTTTATAGAAAGAAGTGTTTATTTGGGTTTGGAGTTGCAGGGGGTTGACTCTACAAGACAGCTTGCACTGGAAGCTGAGAGCTCACATCTTCAGCCACACCCAAAAAGCAGGGACAAAAAAATGAGTAGTAGGGTAAGGCTATAAATCTCTCAAAGCCCTCCCCAGTAATGTGCATCTTCCAGCGAAGCTTCACGTTCCACAGCACCAACAAGTGATGGAGCGTTCAAACCCATGGGCCTCTGTGAGACACTCCACATTCTAATCCCCGCAGCACACGATGGATTACTATGGAGCTCTGAAAAAGGCAAAATTTCTATCATTTGTGAAAGTGTGGATGCAAATAGAGAACCATGTACGAAATAAAATAAGGTAAAGGAAGACCGTACAGCATATCTGCTTCGGTTTGGCATTTAAGACAGGTGGACTCATAGACGTGGGAAGAAGCACAGTGGCCACGCAAGGGTGTGAGAAGAGGGAGTAGAGAGGTCTTATCCCAGAGTCCAAAGCCCCAGTTAGAAAGAATAAGACAGATTCGATTTTGTTTTTTGATCTATTACACAGCATGACAAGCCTAGTTATTAATGAGTATCATACATTTCAGAACTGTTGGATCTCAGATGCTCTCATCACAAACTGTACATTATTTCCAAGTTAATGACCTTGATTTAATCATCCCATATTGTATTTAAAAGTCCTGACAGGACTGCAAGGTGACTCAGTGGCTTAACTGCTGCACAAGTTTGATGACCTGAGTTTGATCCCCTGATCCACTGTGAAAGGAGAGGGCCAACTCCTGAACGTTGTTGTCAGACCACCATGCCTGTGCCATGGCCTGCACACACACACACGTGCACATGCACACGCACACATATACGCACACGCACATACACACACACATACACACACATACGTACATACACACACAAACATACACACATACACATGCACAGTCACATACACATATATACACTACACACATACATACTACATACACATACACTACACACACACATAAATAATAATATCAACACTACACTGATCCCCATAAATAAACACCTAGAATTTGTCATTATAAAAATTAAAAACTATATCTATAAACAGAATACTCCTAAGCTTTTTTAGTCCAATTTTTAAAAATCTTCCTTCCCTGGTGATTGTTAAAATTTATGTCCTATTTTATGATAAGCATTGGAGTAGGAAGACCAATTATGAAATGGGAACTAGTCTGTAAAATTTACATCTGTGCTAGGGTACGCTTTAATTTCTCAAATCACATAATCCTCAATGTACAGTGTAGGCTGTCTTCTGAGTAAGAGACTTCTCCACAGTACATTAGCAAGATGCAGGCTTGGTCAACAATGATATGCAGGCTTTCTTACCCTCATATGGAATTTTTCTTAAAATTGGGCCTGGGGATTTGTTTATCATCCCTTTCTATAAAAATGCCCAAAAGAAAACATTTTATAATTTCAGTGTAAACTTAGTCTGGTGTTTTCCAGCTCCAGAATGATCTTACTGTTCACTGTTCTTAGTCTTGTGCAGTTTCGCTGTTCAGTGTACAGAGAGCTGTTGTACATGGCCCATTTTTCTCTTCCTACCCTTAAACCCATTTGTAAACATTTAACAAAGGAAGTTTAACTTCCATTATTACCACCAGGGAGCTGAAGATTTCTCAAGAGATCCTTTTGGCATCTCTGACAAATTGCATCTGCAGTTAACATTATGGCAGCAGAAGTCTACATCATGAAAATGAGACTCAGTAATGGAAAAGATGGGTCAGAGTTGAACCGGCTGTTCCCAGAACAGGACCTCAATCTTCTCTGCTGTTCCCCATTAGCTCATATGACAGAAACTGGTCTGTGTGAGTGTGTCTATGTACCCTTCTTATCTGATCCACAGCCTGTTCTGTTTTAAAGTTTAGGAGGTGATATCAAGAACACTCAAGTGGAGCATAATCTGTCTAGTTGGGCCTCTTATGAGTCTGGCGAAAAAGATTGAGTCCTTGAAAATGCCCCTATCTTTTTTCAAAACATGACCGAGCCTTTCTTCTTTCATATGGGTGAGTCATCTTAACAGCAGTCAAAACAAGCTTGCAGCAGCTGAGTTTCCCTTGGCTCCTTGCTGGTGGCCAGATCCTGTATAGGGCCTGCAATCACTTGTAGGAGCTTTAAATTGTCTGCACAGAGGGCTGTCAGCAAGCTGAGCACATATGGGTGAGGAGGGGAAATTGGGAAGAACTGAGAGCTGCTGTGGGAGCACATGGAGCACGGTGATGCTGAGCACGTAGCAGCTCTGTGACCCTGAGTGAGTGCTACTCCTCAGCCTCCTTTGCCGTGCTTTCTCATCTCTGAAGTGAGGATTAGCATTGGTGTGTACCAGCTGGATCGAGCGTTTGTTAGAACAAAGTCTAGAACAAATAAGGCCTCATCATCGTTGTCATAATCATCATCATCGTTGTCATCATCAAGAATTAAGGCCTGCACTTCCAATACGGTAACCACTGGCCACAGAACTAACATGTCCCTGAACTGAGGTGTAGTAATACAGACTGCTTGTGGAGTCCCAAAAAACAGAACAAAATGTGTAGTTTATACTGTATTTTATACTATGTACGTGTTAAAGGACCTGTATTCCCTATAGGGGATTGAAATATTGCTAAATTACTTTCAGTTTCCTTCTAATTTCTAATGTGGAAACAGGAAGTAGTTTTGTAATGACAGTGTGGGTTACATTATATTTCTGTTGGGCAGTGCTGAATTGCATACTTCCCTTATAAGGCAAGGCCAGAGAAAAAAGAGCCAAATGCTAGATTTTATTGGGAAGAAGGAAACTGTGAAGCTCTTGGGCTTGATCGCACAAGCCTGAAAGATAAACATGTCCTGGCAAAGCTGAAGGAGGGCTTTCATGGTACATCCTGCAGTTGGGACTTCAAGCACAGACTGCTGTGTATAATGAACTGATTTTATTAATTACTCCTATAAATATCTTAAGAGCAGTACAATTATATGTAGTTGTTAAAATACATATTTTTAATAGAAACATGTAATAAAATCTATAGTTGTTTTGTAATTATTTTGTTCCTGCTTCTTAATATTGTGAGCATCAAACCCGTGTCTCTTACAATCCATTCCAAATCCAAACACAGTAGATGTCTGATGAATCCCTACATTCTTATTTTTATGTTCCATATTTTATATGCTTCAGAAAATATATTGACTTTTAAAGTAATTAAAACTGCCAACAAGGAAACACTGTGCTTTCCATAGGAAAGGAGGCTCCTACAGAGTTGTATCCAGATGCCTCCAGGCCTTCTTGTCCTTGCTGGGTACCCTTGTCCCCGTGCCAGGGGTGGGAGGCTGGGATGGTGAACTCCAGCTGGGACAGAGTGGTTTGGGGGCAGGTCGGTTCTGGCTTTGACCTAGCTTGACTTGGCCGTACTCTCTTTCTTTTGCAGTGAAATATGAGGAGCTCTACTGCTTTTCCTTCAATCCCAAGCTGGATAAGGAAGAACGAGAGCAGGGCTGGCTGCTGGTTGACCTTAGTGAAGAATACAAGCGGATGGGCCTCCCTGATAATCACTGGCAGCTCAGCGATGTGAACAGAGACTACAGAGTGAGTGGCGCCATTTTACTGGAATGCAAACACTTCTCACGCAGTTACTGTGTCAGTTAGCGTGGGGTTACCTCTATCTCCTCTAGATTTTGCAGCTCTTTGTAGATAGAGTCTGAGGCTCCCAGCATCTTTCACTGTGCTGGTCCTTGCCCCCCTCCAGCACTGGGGATTGAACCCAGGCTCTTATGCACGCTATACAGGTAATCTGCCACTGTGGCTATATCCCCAGCCCATTCCGGCCTTCTCTTCCCGCTGCACCTAGAACTAGTCCCTCAAGACCATCCCTACAGACTCCTCATCTTAAGGGGTGAGCATTTGTAAATTCAGGACGGCCCAGTGGAGACTTTGTGGCCAGCAGTTGTTGAGAGAGCTGGCTGGGACCTCATTCTCCCATCACGTCTTTTTATAGCACAGGGGACGATTAGTGTGGAAATCACAGGGACCCTGATGGCAGTTTGGCACCAGCCTCTTGATGTTCTCACTGTATTCTCAATTGGTACATAAGGTCACCAAGAGGTTCCCTAGAGAGATGTGAAAAAAAAATGTGCCTATACTCCCAGGAAGGAGTGCCAAGTGAACCTCTTGTTCTCCCCAGTGACGAGCTCACAAGTCAGTATAATTCCTAGTCCTCCAGGGAGTTAGCGAGAAAAGGGAGATGGACACTGGGGAGAGGCAGGGAGAGATGATCTTTCTTTTGGTTTAACCCTGTAGTGTATTTGTGGGTATGTATGCTGAGTCTCAAACCCAGGGTTCTGTGCATGTTGTGCCAATGGCATACCACTGGGATATATTCCAAGCCCAATCTTCTGTCTTATTTCCTTCCTTCATAGTTACATACTTTGAGAGCCTCTTTTCTTATTTAAATAGACCATCTTTAGTGGCCATTCATAGTGACTCTGAATCTCCTCTTCACATTCCTGATCCTTCATTTTACAAGATTGTCTTGGTGTATATTTATAGATACTATTTTGCTTTAGTAACTGTTATTGTTCATGTAGCTATTACAAATACATCCTAGCATGTTTTCTGACCTTCAGAACTTCTGATTTATGATTTTCTTTTGAGATAGACTCAGGTAGTTCTGGCTGAACTCAAACTCATCTTATAAGGCTGCCCTTCCACTCTGGTCCTCCTGCCTCTGTGTGTAAAGTGCTGGGGCACAGAGTATGCTTCCATGACTGACTCATGGGGCGCTGGACACTGAACAACTTCTTACAGGCTAGGGGAACACTCTATCATCTGAGCTACCGCCCAGCTCTAATCATTTATTTTAGTCATGATTTGTGCTTCTATATTGTTAATCTTTGTCTAAATTTGACACTGTGTAAGATCCACAGTTAATATTTTTACTAATTATGATTGTTATAGTTTGATAGTAAATCTTATCCTAAAGTCGAGTGGGTTTTCACTATTGTCCAGAGTATCTCAGAGATACAGATTATTTGAGATGCAGTTGGTTTCTTATGATAATAAATCTTGTTTGTAATTATGCATAAATTCAATAACGATACCTTACGTAGTCTTTGTGAAGTGCTGGGTTAGTATAATTGGACCAGATTGTCCTCTTGCTAAAGACAACTTTTACACCAAGTGTTTTAGCTGTAAGATGAGAGAGGGACGGGAAACCCAACTTTTGTAAAGGAAGTCAAATGTCCTTAGTCTTCAATTATACGACTGTCCTTGAGCAAGGAAGAAAAGAAAGTGAAGCACAACCAGTGAATGAGATTTTCTTGATGCTTCTCACTTACTTTTTTGATGACTTTCCCCCTTAGAATTACCATCACAAATATGAATCATGCATAGTAACTGGAGTTCACATTACCCAGACTGAAAGCTGTGTGTCACTTGTCATTTCTTTTCCAGAGTAACACCCAGCACAGCAAGCCTGGCCCTTTCCAGACTGCTGTGGCAGAAGAGGTGAAAACCTCGGGGATTTTCTGACTTGAGAAATATCAGATGAATATCTTAATTGACTGCCAGTTTAGAAATAGAACAAAAATTGTCTTACATACTAAGTTCTGACTCGTCATCCAATGAGAACATTTTATCTCAATCCACTTCCTGTGACTGTGAATTTAAGACTGAGGAAAATATGTATTTTCTCCTCTTGCTTTATGAGTTATTTTACACTTTGTACAAGTCATTTCAAGTGGGTGGAGTGAGAACTTTCGAGTTGTACAGAAGATGTCAGCTGAGTCTGAGTGGCCTGCAGCGGCTTAGTCATGGTCATCTCTGTTGTCAATGAAGCACTGTGACATTTGCTAATGGCAGCCTAAGTCTGTAAGCTCGGACTTCATTTTATACACAACCCTGAAATTACCTCTATTTAGATAAAGTGATTGCTGTCTGTTACAAGGTTAAAAATTTAGGCTAGGGATGTACCTCTATGGTAGAGCACTTGCTAGCACACAGAGGCCCAGGTTCAGACACTGGACGTCGGGAGAAAGTTCCTCAGTCTTTCTTGTAATATAACTTGAGATATAATCTAAACCTCATATTTAATTAGGTGTGTTTTTAATTTAATCATATTCTTAAATTTAACTAAATTAGAACTTCAGTTCCTTACAGCTAAATCTTAACATGCTATATTATATTTTATTAATTACTTTGTGTTGCTCATACCTTCACTTGTCATAAATTCCTTTAAGTAAGTTCCAGGATCCAGATATATTAAAAGGTGTTTCTGTGTAGATGTTTCTCAGTTCCCAATAATACGTTACCCCAGGTCTGACTCAGACCCCTTGGATAGCATCTTGGATGGATACCAACTGTGTAGGTAAATACATTTACTGGAAGGTTATACCCAGGTCATCAGAAGGCAGTTCTGAGAATGTGACCATCTCTGTTACTCATTTCTGCCCCAGGTCTAACAGTGAGAAAGTAAGGACTTGTAACTGTTTACTGAATGAATGTTGGAATTACAGAAAAAGATTCCCAAGGGCAGAACCCTACCAAGATACGTGAGCCCTTAAGGCAGGCTAATTTATTTAGTGAGGACAAAAAAATAATATTTTTAAATTCATAAATAGTCAAAATTGCATTCACTAAAAAGCCATATCAGAAGTAAAAAGGAGCAGAAAAGCATTTTTTGCTCTTGTGAACGTTTTCCATTCTCTCTAAATTGCCCTTTTTGATTTTTTAAAACCAGACAGAAATCTCAGGCCGTTCCTGAGGAATTGTAAAACGTGGTAGCGTCAGTTCTGTTGTGTGGTGCATTCTTCATTACCAGAGTCTGATTACAACTCTGTGAACAAGTTATAAAGTGACAGCAGCGGGGTCTGGCGTCTTCCTCGTCCTTTAGTGTACAGGTCAGGAGAGTTCCAGTATGCCACATTGCTGTGGAATTGAACTTCAGAACTCAGCTTACAAAGCTGACACTTGGTGCCCAGTAAACAGTAATTCTCTCTCCTCGGTGCTCGGCCTGGTGTTTAGTATTCTACTTCCTGTTTCGATGGCTTAGACTCTTTTAGACACTGCACATAAATGAAATCGTGCAATGTTATCCCCTTACGTGGCTTATAATGCAGAATTTAGTTCGATTTTCAGGGTGGCTAACGTTGCTGTGTGAATAGAAAACATTCTGTTCCTTCATAGGCTGAGGATTTTGGGGGCCTGTATTTGTTTCTCAGCTCTCAGGAACAGCGCCACCTCTGGTGAGAGTGTGTGAATACCTCTTTGAAAGTCGGCTTTCTCTCGTGGTGATAGACTCAAGAGTGAGGTTTCTGGAGCATCTGTGTCTTTGCCAACACTTGTTTTTGGCTTTGCTTTAATGGTACCCAGCCTAAGAGTTGGTGAGATGATTTCTCAGTGTGGTTGGTTTCATTCCACTGGCCGCTTAGTGGTGCCGAACTTCTTGTCATGTGTGTGCTGACTTACTCTGAGCGTCTTTGGAGATTTTCAAGTCTTTTGCCTGTTTTCACTTTAGCCATTTGCTTTTGTTGACATGAAGTTTCTTATGTATTCTGGATAGTAAACTCATATGGAAATATATTCTTCCTTTTTTTTTTTTTAGTTACCTTTATACTCTTTTGGTTGCTCCTTGGTGCATAAAAGTTATTGTTTAATGTAGTGCTTATACTTTTGGCATTGTGCATAAGAAATCAAAGCCAGACTTAATCGGAAGCTTTTCCTCTTGTACTGCTGTGGGAGTTTCCCGTCCTGCGTTTATACCTTTAATCTGTCCTGAGTTAATTTTTGTATAAGGTCTAAGGGCTCACCTTTTTCCTCTGGGTATGAATTTTCTGTTTTCCCAATAACTAGATAAGAAACCATGCTTTTCCAGGAATAGTTTCAGATCTTCATTGGGATTGCTCAGCTGCACATAGGACGCTTACCTGTGGTCCCTCCAACATTGATCTGTTTGTCTTAATGCCGGGTCACTCTCTTTGGTTACATGTGGCTCTGTAACCTGCCTTGAAATTTTGCAGCATGAATCCCCAACTGTTCTTTAGAAAAAATGTTTTGAGTGTATGGAGTCTCTTGAGAATTCTTACTAGTTTTCAGACACATTTTTCTATTTCTGAATAAGCGGGCGTGGAGACTTTGAGAGGCTTTGCTAGAGTCTGTAGGCTGCTTTTGGCAGGTACAGTTGGGTATTCTACTATAGGGATTCAAGCACCATCCCATTTGTGTCTTGTGGAGAAGTATTTGTAGTGTTCAGGGTAGGACTTAGTTTTCACTCAGGAGTATTGCCTGCTTTGAAAGGAGGATAAATTTCATTCTTTCAGCTCTATATAAAGCTGTTTATTAGAAGTTAAATGACACTGTAGGCCTGAGGGTGTCATCATCATTATCAACAGTATTAATGAATTTAACAGGTCTTTCAGCTTCTTAGAATTCGAGTGAAAGGTGTTCAGAGTGCCATATACTTTAGCTTTGGCTGATAGGCAGTGCTCGGGACTCTGAAGAAGCAGCATTCCTCTAAGAGAGTTTTATTCAAGACAGGAGGTTGTGCCAGACAGCTTGCAAGCATGGACATTATTGACTGGGCACAGGTAGGGGAGCTTTGGCCTTTGCATTGGCCGAGCCATGAAGGTCACAGTTTCCTCTGGAGAGTGATAACTCTGCTGTTATATGTACTAGATATTTTCCTTCCCTTGTCTTATTTCAGCAATAGTGTACATAATGGTGTGTCCCTAGCCTCGCTAGACATTTTCTGGCTTTGGGAAACCCTCAGAGGGCCTGTTGGGGCTGCAGAATCCTTTACTTTCCTCCTGATTTTCAGAAGCTTATGTGCAGTATTTTGGATAATCTTCCCTTGTACAGATTATCTCACATAGCGATAAAACTTTTCAGTTGCTTTGTGTTGCTGTTATAAGAAAGTGTATATGTGATTTTCAGTTTACTGAAAAGCTCCTTGCTTCCTTTTAAAACTGGTTATTTCCAGCACACAGCAGTCTGGTGCAGTGACCACGTATCTTTGATCCTTGAGCCAGCAGGAGTGGTATGGGTGTGGGTGTTAATGTTCTAGTAGCTTGCTTGCTTAATTGAGACGGATTCAGACACCAGGCTGCAATCATGGGGAAGTGCAGCATTTTGGGGCTTCATCCTAGCTGTCTGGGTCCAAGTGAATTGGGCTCTATGCTCTTGGTGAGCAGGATTTTCTTTCAGGGTACCCAAACCCACATGAGACTGAGGTTATGCTCTAGACCTGTGGTCATTCCTTTTATGGCCTTTTAATGGCTTGCTCCATGATTTTTAGCAGTCTGGTTAAGGGAATCCATGGAAGCTGACAGGGAGGGAGGCATCCTGACAGAGCTGTTTGTAGCTCGGAGGCTTGTAGGTTTTTATTCCCTCAGTGTGGTAAGGGTGGGTGGAGATGGCCAAAGATAAAATATTACTCCCATTGCCACACCCATGTGGATTTTGTTGCTATGACTCCAAAGATGCTTGACTTCCAGGAAATAAACAGTTGTTTAATGAAGCCCAGGGAACTGCTATCTGATAGACTGACTGATGGGAAAGCCAGCCACTGACAGCCAGCCACAGTCACCAGTGCCAAGTGCTGGCATTATTTCTTTCGGCTCTGGTAGTTTCTAAAGTGCTCTGTCATGGATGCTGTCTGATTTTTTTCTTTTCTCCTCTTCTTATCCACTTTGTAAAGTACCATTACTAAACTATCAAGTTTTGGAGATTAGAAAAGCAAAGCATCCTGTGTATTGGCTTCCTCAAGGTTGTGGAGCTGCAAACTCCATGCCATGTGCTAAGCAGCTGACTTCTGATTCTCACACCTAATATCCTCTCAAGGTACCAGGTCCTGCTGCAACGGTTCCTGCCAGAAGGGGCAAATCTTTTCTTACCACATACAGAATCAACGCACTTAAAGCTCGTATTACCACATTATGTGGTAATGGGAGGCATACCACAAAATCCTATCTAGAAGTCTTCTGGGAGAGGACCCGGGAGGACACTTCTCAGGAAAGTGGGACCAGGCAGGCTGGGGAAGTGTGGAAGAAACTTGAGAAGACCAAGGACATGAGTGTTCAGAGAAGCCAAAAGAAGTACGCAGTGTGCCAGGGACACAGAGGTAACCTTAGGATGTATCTACTGTGATTACATTTTAGGAGATTGTCCCCACACAGGCTGCCAATCAGATACAGGCATCTAATATGTCTTTGGCCATTAGGATGCAGAATTGCAGTCTGTACCTTTTTGGTGAAAGGAAGACTCAGTTGTTACTGTCCTTCCCACATAAAGAAAAGGGACAGCACACAGTCACAAGATGTTGGTGGTCATTTTGTTTTTCCTTCAGAATTATGTCACAGAATCAGCAGTGCTTCATTTCTCTGAGTGGCCTCAGGTTTCCTCGAAACAGCCTCTGTGTAACTTGATTAGGAAAGCTAAGATCTGCAACCTTTAAATATGTTGAAATGGGATTTCTGGTGGCAAATTGCATGTAATGTAATGTAATACCTCAACATCCCTTTGTTATTTTCTGGTGACAGGTTTGTGACTCTTACCCCACGGAACTGTATGTCCCCAGATCGGCCACAGCACACATCATCGTGGGCAGCTCCAAGTTCCGGAGCAGACGGCGATTTCCTGCCCTTTCCTACTACTGTAAAGAAAGCCATGTATGTCTCGAAGCAGGCCTTTGTTTCATGCTTTGCCTTTATGTCTTAGCCTAAATGGGGATTTTTCTAGTGCTCTCCTACCCTGTGTGTGTCTGTCTGTCTTTGTCTCTTTCATTTTTTTCTGTGTGTATATTTATTTACATTCTTAGTGGTACATGAATATCCTGCGAATGGTGTGAGACAGTCTAGTTCCATGTGGAAACTTAACCTTCCATTTATATTTGGCGATAAACTAATGGTAGACTCAGACAGTACCTAAGTGTGATCAGCTACGTGAATGAAGCTGTCCCATCTCAAGGTGCCTGGCTTTGATCCTGAGATCCTAAAGGAGGCTGTAGTACCAGCCATCATGTCCCCTCTCCTGGTAGTGGTTGAGGAAGGATAGCGTGCTCCCACACTTTAGAGGAAAATTCCAAGAAGCATGGGCAACGTTTCTGCCCACATCCCAGTTACCAGAACTATGTGGAGCAGGCGTGAACATGCAGTCTTGTGTAACCAAAATTTAAAGCTTTATTTCCAAGGAAGATAGGAAAACAAATTTGGAGGAATAACAGTGGTCTTTGCCATCTACTATAAAAATTATTTGGCTCAAGCCGGGCAAAAATGTTTGATTTTCATGGTTAATATAGTTTTCTACTCAAAACCAAGTGGTGCTCTATGTGTGGGATTGTGTGTACTTGGGTGTGTTTGTGTGTGAATGAATGTAGTTTACCTACAGTCAAGGTGGAGCGGCAGCTGTCAGATGATACAGGAGGCTTCTAAAAATATTTTGAGCAAGGCAGCTTCACCACCAGACAGCATACAGCCTTCTGTGTTGCCTTCTTCAAAAGAAAATACTCATTTGGTGGTGAGTTCTGTTCTTTGAAAGGATGTATTTTCATTCACTGTTCTTGCTCTATTCTTCCTCATGAGATGGGACTGGAGAAAGTTAACTTCTGCCTGTATTATTTAACTCCAAATATGTTTTAGGCCACACAGGAATGGAACAATGTTTAGAGGCAGAGGATGCTGGGAGTCCTCTCTTTTAAAAATAGAATTACTAAGGCTATGAAATTCCACGCTGTTATGCTTTAAAATGGGATGCCAGTAACATTCGCACTTTGTAGTTTATTAATAAAGTGAGATAGGATTGGAATTTAGATGAGGGATAGAGGATTATTCCTCCTTTCAGCAGTAGGATATTTAAACAGTGAGCCCAGGTTCTATGCTACTTCCTTTTCAGAGAAAAATGAACCTTTCTTGGTTGGTGTGAATATCACAAGGGCAAAGGTGTAGTACTTCAGACAGGACCCAGTCTTCAGGAGGTAGGCCTCAGAGGCGGGCCTTGCCTTGATGACCTTCGTGATGAGTTTCAGATCTGAGGGTGAACTCGTCCCGCAACTAAATATAGAATCAGTGGTCCTCTGCACCAAGGTTTTAGCTGTTCTTGCAAAGGTATCACATAGACATGTTTCTGAGCATCACTTCTTCATGTTGTCACTCTGGAGAGCCTGGCTGTGTGACACTTGATCTCCCATTTTCACATCTCTACAGTCTGGTCGCAGGTAGAATAATAGTCGGTTTTGTGTTTTATAATGATATTTGGATAGCAGTATCATGTTCAGATGCCTAAGTGCTTCTGGGTGGGGCTTGTCCTTCAGTACCACTGCTGAATGTGGATTTGTGTGGCTAAGTGGATGTCGGGTGACCGGGCCTGTTGGTTTCCTGTGCTCATTGCTCATATAACCCATCTGTAGACTAACAGGAGTCATGTTGAGGTTGTTCTGGGAACAGTGAAAAAGGGGTACTCTGGGAGTCAGGCCTTGCAGTATCATGACTTGGGGGTCACCCTGTTCCTGCAGGAGGTTTGCTGATCTGTTACCATAAGCTGGTGGGAACGGAGGCCCCCATACTTAGGTGACCAGAACACTTGTGTGGTGTGGTGAGAGCTTGCATCAAGCTTACCCAGAAACCAAGGGCCTCTCGATTTTACCAGGTATCAAGGCATCCCATAATATTAATTTTAAGACAGTTTCTGTATGTGGGCCTTGCGGAGCCGTTCCGCCCCCTCCCCAACTCCCTTTGGTATCCAACCGCTTTATAGGTCATGGTTAGAGGCTTTGACTTATGAACTGCATTCTGGGTATTGTGTTTGCTGAGAGTCACTTCATCCTTTGTTCTCTGGAATTATGTTAGCGTTTTAAAAGTCACTGTACTTTAAATTGTGAACAACATGGTCTCCTCGTTTCCCAGCGTACATTTCCAGCTGGGCGGGTGCAGGGACTCATAAATGATTTCTGTTCTGTTAAGACACATTTTCCTAAACAATACATCTTTCTTGCTTTCTGTGTATGCCTGCCTCAGATGCCTCTTTGTTTTACATTTCCCTGTTACTGCCGTGTTGAACTGTGACCCTGGCCATAGGCCCCGTTTTCTTGAACCACAACAGCGATTGCCTGTCTGCTCAGTGATTGCGATTGCTGAGCTGTTCTGGATTCCTCTCAGTTGTCAGACTCCCCATTCCACAGTTCTTGGTCTTTCGAGTAAGAGAGGAGCCAAGTGTGGTAGAGTATGTTTCAGGAGACAGAGTTCTGTGACTTCTCGGCTCATTAGGTTTATAAAGTAAGTTATAGGCCAGCCACAGGTACATAGTAAGACTCTCTCAGAATTTAAAAAAAAAAAAAGAGAGGAGAGAGACTTAGAGAAAAATCCAAACAAACAAGCAAAACCATACCACCTCCTCCAATGACAGCATTGAAGAGTGTGTGTGTGTGTGTGTGTGTGTGTGTGTGTGTGTGTGTGTATTCATGCTAAGGCCAAGTTTCTGGATTGGTCCCCTTGTTTGCTTATTATTGTTTTATAACAACAACATTCACTGAGCAAAATCAGCCCGGGTGAGGAAGAGTGTTTATTTGGCTTACAAATTACAGTCTGTCATTTGGGGAAGCTAAGGCAGGAACCCGAGTCAAGAACTAAGACACAGGTCATAGAAGAAAGCTTTTAGTAGCCTCCTGCCCATCACTCTTTTATACAGTCCAGGAATACCTGTCCAGGGAAAGCACCACACACAGCTGTGAGTTCTCCTACATTAATTGTTAATCAAGAAAATGCCCCATAGACATGCCCTCAGGGCAGTCTCTCGGAGGTGGTTCCTCAGATGAAATTCCCTCTTCTCAGACATGTCTAGGTTTCTGTGAAGTTGACAGAAGCTAAAGCAGCAGGTTTAGAAGGCAGGAAAGCTGAGTTTGAAGTTAGAGGGGTGATTCGTGGTAAAAGAGGGTCTTTTACCTGTATGCAAGGCCCTAAGCAAGCAATGGACTGGCAGGACTATTAGGGTTCTTCCTTCCAGCTCCTGAAGAGTGTTTCCGTGGCCTGTTTATCCTTCCACACAGCAGGTCACACAGTAGATGGTGCTGGTTTTACAGGTTGTATGACACGTGAACTAGTGTCAGCAATGCTATTTTAAAAAGAACAGGGGGATAAAATCACAGCACAGGAAAGAGAAAATAGGCCAGAAGCCAAGCCAACTAGGCCAACATAGTGAAGCCATGACATCCACACTTACAGAGCCAGTATATATTTGTTTAGTCAACATCCATCTTATCAAGAGATTTGTATGTACTTTAACTGTTAGAAGCTAAGCACACAAGAGTATTTTCCATGAACACAAGTTTAAAGCTGAGAGTTCATCTCTTTCCCTTATACATGGCTGACCTGTATCATCCAACAGTGCAGCATCAAGCTCTCTGTGCTGTCTGTGGGGACGGGTCCTACAGTTCCCCCTAGACACCAGTGTCTCTGCATGGGCTCGTCCCTCACCTACAATGCTAATGTTTGCCTGTGCTCTGCTCACACCCTCCTGCATACCGTACATCAGCTCCCGATGGCTTCAGATGCCCCGTCAAGGTAAATACTTGCTATGATGGGTTATTTAGGGAAAGGCAACCAAAAGGTGATTCAGAGTCAGTCCTTTTAGTTAAATACTTTTGAGCCATGGTTGTTCAAAACCATAGCTGATTAAACCCACCAGTGTAGGACCAGGTGACTGGAAAGAGAAACGGAGAGATGCTTGTATGGTGTTGGAAATGTAGGTCAGGGAAATGGTGGGGCGTGCTGAGATGGGGTCTAAAGAGACCCCTTGTTCCTAAATGTCCTTTCTGAGCAAACCTAGCAGTAACCTGGGCTTTTATTACTGTGAAAATGTGACCTTTAGATTTGATTTTGGGTGTTCATGATTCTTTTAAATAGACTAGTTTACTAAAAAAAAAAAGAGAGAGAGAAACGACAGTAAGCACTAAAATTATTTCCCTAGTCTTGCCACTAACAGTGTCTTGTAAGTTTCAAGAAAGTGATTTTTTTTTCTGCTTTCAGCAGTGAAAAGTAACAATATTACTGAAAAGGAAAGTAGGTTGCTTAAATAGTTTTAAATCCATGGTGTGGATCCTACTTAAACATCTTCACACATTCCTACCTTACACAGAAAGCTTACCCAGGTAGCAGGCTTTTCAGCTTGGATTAAAAATAAACATATCTTGATTTCCATAAAATCCAATCCCATTTTCTGATGTTGGAGTGGAGTGCAGGCTAACCAAAGGCTCCTCTTTCTGGGGATGCTCCCAAAGTGTTTCTGACAGTTGTGTGTTCCTATGGCCTCTCTCTGCAGGCCTCCATCTGCAGAAGCAGCCAGCCCCTTTCTGGTTTCAGTGCTCGGTGCCTGGAGGATGAGCAGATGCTCCAAGCCATCAGGAAAGCCAATCCTGGAAGTGACTTCATTTATGTCGTGGACACAAGGCCTAAAGTAAGTGTCAGCATTTTCATACATGTCTCTACAGCCCTGAGTCCTGAGGCTGGAAGGAACCAAAGCTTAACTGATAGCAACCATTTGCTATATCTGTAAAGGGTTGTTCTTGGTGTGATCAGACCATGGGGGCACCAAGGGGCTGCTCTCTGCTGCATCTCAGCTCCCGAAGGGGCTGAGTGTGCCGAGTACATCTTTATTTCCCACTTTTAATATTGTACTGGTCACACTGTAAATGGTTTACTGAGTAGTTTTATAAGTAGTATGGAGTGTGAATTAAATGTCAGCAGTGCTATTCAAAACAGGATACAAGGGACTAGAACTATGACAAAGAAAAAATAGCTTAGTAGATCAAGTCAGTTTAAAATTAAAACCATTAAGGGGTGCTTAGTGGCATAGTCTGTCGTGGGTGTTTATAGACATAGTCTTCACATTGTACATGCTGGGTCCCTGCCTTTCTAATAATCTTTCACTGCACAACATAGATCACATCTTCGAACCAGGGGTGAAGGTCTGCACTTGAAAGATGTGACAGTTTTTAACTTCTGCTGTTGTCTTTCAGTTTCTGCCTCTCTCTGAATCAGGCTCAAACCCTTCTTCTGACCCTGACTGCCCTCCTCCCTGTGTCTTTTGTGTATGGTAGAGCCGTTCTGTACTTTCTGTTAGGGCTTCTTAGAGGATATTTTGCAGACAAACTCAAGATAGGAAGGGAAGAGTTTACTGAGTGGAGACTGGAAACCCTTTTCCTACTCTACTTTTCCAGGTTTAAACAGGGCTAAACAGGTTGACCTCTTAAGAGCGGGTGATCTAAGTGCGGTCCGTGTAGTGTAAGTCCTCACTAGAATGTGGCATTGCAGCGCTAGGCCTTGTCCATAATTAAAGCCACTTGATCCTAAGTATTTGGTTTGGAGGGTATATTTAGTACTCACTTTGTTTACTCCTAAGTGATAAGAAGTTGACTCTGATCCAGTAAATAAAGTTGGGCACTCTCTTCTCATGTGCAAGTATGTGGTTTGCTTCAGCTTCTCCCTCTTTCTCTTTCTCTCTCTCTCCCTCTCCCTCTCTTTCTCTCTCTCTCTCCCTCTCTTTCTCTCTCTCTTTCCCTCTCTCTTTCTCCCTCCCTCCTCCCTTCCTCCTTCCCTTTCTCTCTTTCCTCCCCCCTCTCTCTTTCCCCCCTCTTCCTCTCTTTCCCTCCTTCCCTTCCTTTCTTTGTTTCATGACTGACCATGTTGGTTGCTTGATCCTGCCCCTCAAGTGTGTTAGTCTTCCTGGGTCGCCAGGAAGCTAAGCGGATGCTTGCCATAGAAAGTCTGCCTGGCGACATGCAAGTTGTCCTTAGTCCCTGCCCGCTGCATCCAAATTTATTTCCTAGTATAATAAAGAAGATAAAGGCTGAGCAGGCGGCTCACAGGATCTGATACTTGATCTCTGAGGGGAGGTTAAGTATACAGAGGCAGTGATAGCCTCAAATTCTTACTGAGAAAAGGCCGCTTGGTCACATGCTGTTGCTAGAGATTGGTGCATTAACGTATGAAATCGTGTCACATTTGTATTTGTGGAGGTCTGAAGCAAGGAGTGTGTCACCGTTCTTCAACCTTGCTGTGGCTTTGTCAGATATTCTGGGATTCTGCTGAGTTTGCAAAACTGTTCAGCGCTGTATCATTTCACTCTAGTAAGAATCTTGCAGATTAGGAGATGTCTTGTCTTTTCCCGAGTGAGGACTTAGCTTTAAAGAGGTTAGGAAATTCACTGAGACCATGGAGTTTAGGTACCAGGCCACATTCAGTCATATGCAAGCTTATTTGACATCAAAGCCGGTGTTTTTTCTGTTACCAAAACATCTCTAGGGGAACCTTGTCTCCACTTCCAGACTGTAGAGGGTTGACACCTCAGTTGATCACACACCCAGTGGAGCTGGAGACATGGCTGAATAGCCAGTTCCAGGCTCAGCCAACATCACCTCAAGACCAAAGGAGCAGGAGAGGCTCTAAGCCGTGTGCTGTGTACCTACCAGCTATGGAGGAATTGTGAGCCCTAAAGGCAGGGGCGAGGTTGAGACTGTCACCTGCTTCAGTAGTGTTGACCCTGTGTCATGCCTCAGCTTTGTGGTTGTGGCCTTAGCATCACGGCGCCAGTGGTTGTTTCATTGTGTAACAGGAAGTCATAGGGTATTTCTCTCTCTCTCTCTGGTAATGAGGTAATGTCTGTTCACTGGGTCCCATGCAGGCGACATCTTCAGGATACAGCTATGAAGAAGATTAGAGTGCCTAAAAAGTGGGAGCCTGGGACCTTATTTCCTGGTCATATATGCATGAAGTTTGCAGGTGGTCATTGACAGAGGAAGGAGAATGGGAGAGAGAGATTTGTGGTTTTTGGCAGGTGAGTCAAAGGTGAGGGAGGGAGAAAGAGAGAGGGAAAGAGAGAGAGAAAGAGAGGGAGAGAGAGAGAGAAAGAGAGGGAGAGGGGGAGAGAGAGAGAGAGAGAAAGAGAGAGAGAGAGAGAGAGAGAAAGAGAGAGAGAGAGAGAGAGAGAGAGAGAGAGAGAGAGAGGGAGAAGCTGAAGCAAACCACATACTTGCACATGAGAAGAGAGTACCCAACTTTATTTACTGGATCAGAGTCAACTTCTTATCACTTAGGAGTAAACAAAGTGAGTACTAAATATACCCTCCAAACCAAATACTTAGGATCAAGTGGCTTCAGTCCTGTTCTTTGTCAGTGCAAGGATGGAGAAGGACCGTTTGACTTAGTTTGGATCTTAACAAACTTGATAAAGCCTTGTTAATACAGCTTACCAATACTGAAGGTCCCCAGAGAGGGGCGTTGGGTTAGTGGTAAGGCTGCTGGTCTAGGCTCATGCCACAGTGAATCTTGTGAGTGAAAAGTGGCACTGTGTACTTCTAGGAGCCTACATGTGTGCCTTAGGAAAGTCACCCTTGAGATACCTATGCAGAGAGAGCAGAGATAGCCAATCAATATTAATCAGAAGCACGTCAACCAATAAAACAACTGTAATTGCCTAGCTTTGCAAAGGGATGATTATGTTAACTGCATCCCTTCCATGTGGCTCCTCCTAGCAACTACACAGAACAGATGAGCCTGTTGAAACCACGGGCGGGAAGAGTCCTCATCAGTCCACACAGCCTGTACACAGGGAAAGAGACCATTTTGCATCACATACAGGTTGAAAATTTAAAGTAGCCTGGATCAAGATTGCATATTTGAATATAATCCTGGTACTCTTAACTATAACATGAGATGTCACAAGTGGACATGGTGGAGGGGAGATTCTGACAAGCTCATTTGTAGATAATACTTGTACAATATAGGCAATAAAATCATCTAATATTTCCAAGAGTGTGCCACAGTTAAAGTTAGTAAGTACGTCATAGCAAAATGAGGAGAGGAAAGGACCACTCTTTGACTCCTATGCTAGGCTCTGGCCCAGTTCTCCTAAAGGCAGCTTTGCTCTGTCTGTCTGTCTGTCTGTCTGTCTGTCTGTCTGTCTGTCTCAGTCTGGAGTACCTTTTTGGATGTTTATTATTTCTAAAACTATGTTTCTGCTTTGAAAGTTTAGCTTTTGCCACATTAAAAAAAAGAAACAAGTGGAGCTCCTGAAAAACTAGCTTGTTTGCTAGATTAAATAGCACCACCTTGCGTTTGTTATGTGAAGTACAGACTGACTTTCAAGAGATTTTCTCCTGTTTGCTTTTAAGGAAAACTGCTCGTCAGTTCTCCCATTTTAACTTCTCAGTTATTTAAAGTGTGAGCATATGTTGTAGATGTAGCAACTGTAGTAGTAAGAGTATTTTGCTTGTTACATGTTATACATGTTTAGAAGAGTTGAGGGGGGAATGTGAAGGCTAGACCTTGAATTTAGATGCAGAATAAGTATAGTTCATGTAGCATAAGGCTTGTGGTGTTTGTTGGTTTGTCGCATTATATGAAGCTCATTACAGAGCTTTGGCCACGCCTGCCCTGATAGCACTTATGTAAACAGTGACCTTTGAAAAGAGCACAGGTGATGAAAGCAACATCTGTATATAATTTCTGGAAGAAAAAAAAAAGGCCCCTTAAATATTAGAACACAGAGTACCCCCTGAGACATATCATTAAAGTTTTTCTTGGTTATGGCTAAAGCCTTCGTTCTTAGGAATGTGGCTTGCTTTGTAGACCCGGGTCAGTCTCGTGTAGAGCTGACAGTCCCCACAGATGTCAGAAGAGCGGAGCCAAGGAGCGGGAACCGGCTTGCTGACGAAGCAGGGACTCCTGTGGCAAGGGCTTGCTCCCAGCTCTGCCTGTATTGTGTTCTCTTCCTGATTGTTTCATTCTTACCATCTATGGTCCTGACTTAACATGTGCTCCTTGTGACTGTGAAAGGCTACAAGAGTATCTGAAGTAATGTTGGTAGTAGTCCCCTGAAGCTTGACACTCCCTCTTTTCCTTCTGAAATTGTTATCAGATTGGCGTAGTCTGCAGTAACTTTAATTCTTCTTAATGAATGTAAATAAATACATCAGTAAATATTAATGATGGGTGGATGCCTGACCATTTTTTTTTAGCTTACACATATGTACATGTAGACGTGTGGTGTATGTGAGAGAGAAAGGGGGAGCGATAGATCAGGGTGTGTCCTTGGTCCCTGGTTGTATTCCATAGCATGGATACGCCATTGTTTATGCAGTTACCACTCTGATAGTCATAGGCTTGCAGCTTTTGTGTTTACAAAAACATTTATCACAGACTTTCTTCACCTATATGTGCTAGGACCTCTATTTTTATGAGGTTTTTAGAACTAGAAGATCTGGGCCAAGGTATTTTAACTTAGCTTTTTAAACTTAACTATTTGAAGGACTACTTTGTACTAGACACTTTAGAGCAGATCCCTCCTCCCCAACCCCCATTTGGCTAGTCCTCTAGCCTTTGTGGCCCAAGGAAGACAGTGGTCAGTGAGTACAGTTCTCCGTAAGTGGTAGCCTGCTTAGTCATACCGCAAGAGAGGAGCATCCCCAGCCGTGTATCCATGTGAGAAATCTTCTCCAGCTTGGGCAGGACTGGTCTCATTACACTGTGCAGTGTTAGAGCAGTTTGGGCTTAATCAGTTTCTTCAGCATCCATTAGCATTGAAACGGGTTCACACTGACATCCCAAGATCTTACCTACAAAGTGACAAAAGCTCCCACGTCAGACATCCGGATCCTGTCTGGATGGGAAGGAGTACCCTGAAGCCTGACGGTCAGCCTTCTCTCTTCAGTGGTCCTACTGAAGGAAGGATCAGCTGGGCAGATGATAAGGACTATTCCTGCCTGACGTTTCTTACTTGATGATTCCTGCTTATTTCTCCATGTTATGGTTCTGGCAGATAATTTAATGCACAGAGACTTACAGTGATAGCTGTCTCTGTGGATACTCCTGCCAGTCAGCAGGTTTTAATGTATAGTGTTAAACTGGCTCTGCCAGAGACTTCCACATCAGGTCAACACCACCAACGAACTGAACTGACAGAGGCATCTCCAGAACTTAGGAAATACTTTCCACTAAGAAAATGTTACCCAGGCCAGCACAAGAGTGCTCATGACCACAAGCTCAGCCTTTATGCTTGTGCTGAGAGCTCAGTACAGTGTTTCAGGGGTTCAAACTATAGTATGCATCTACGCGTCTTTGCAATGTTTTCCTAAGTGGTTGTTCCAGTGTCCTGAATGTAACTGATGACTGTTCTGTTTTGCTGACCACTGCAGCTTAATGCAATGGCAAATCGGGCTGCAGGGAAAGGCTATGAGAATGAAGACAATTATTCCAATATCAAGTTTCAGTTTATCGGGATAGAGAACATCCATGTCATGAGGAACAGTCTTCAGAAAATGCTGGAAGGTAAACCATTTTGTTATGCACAGCATTCAAAGAATAGTTAAGTGTTTTGATGCCGAAATGGAATAAGATAGTCTTTTGATTTAATTTTTCTCCAATGATAACTGTTGAACAAGTGTGGTAACTTCGGGAAATGGGTTAGGGTTGGGAACATTATCATGTTGCAGTGACTCTTTAAGCTCGCTCACAATCTCCTTGTTTCCTTCGAGCCGTGGAATCAAGTGGTTTGAACATTTGGCAGTCAGCCAGATGTTACACTCTACACTGGCACTTTTATATCCAAGATAAAAGCCCTTCCTTCCTTCCTTCCTTCCTTCCTTCCTTCCTTCCTTCCTTCCTTCCTTCCTTCCTTCCTTCTTCACTTTCTTTCATTCAAAGACATCTGGAAAGAAAGCAGTCCTACCTTTAAAGTAATAACCCAGTGTTCCTGTGTGGAAATCAGGTTCACAGACTGTTCCCACATTCCTGAGTGATAGATAGATAGATAGATAGATAGATAGATAGATGGATAGATAGGTGTTGGTCTAGATCCTCATGTCTAAATACCAGGAACTGCTGAGCACACATGCACATGCAACTCCCCTCCTGAGCAAGCACTGCGAGGACACATAAGGACTTACATATTCATGTGGAGAGGAAAGGAAAGGATGGCTCATGCTACGGACGAATCACTCTTGTGTCTCTGCATCCATTAGCAGAAAGTATGCTTTGCATTCAAAACTTGCTTCATTACTGCTTAAGGTCTGCCTGATCCTGAAGTCCCGTGAGAGATCCTGCTGCCTCCAGAGGCAAGTGGGAAAACAGAAGATGCGGAAGCCACAGAGCTTCACCTTGCCTGTGAGCACTGGAATATGAGGAGACTGCAGGGATGGCTGGGGTGGAATCTCGGGAAGATGGTTGTCTCTGTAGGATCTGTGGAGTCTGCGATGGAGCAGGACAGGGGAGGAGCTGAACGGCTTTGCAGGAGACACCTCTGCCCTTGGTTACTTACTCAGTTCTCTGTTCTGTCAGGACAGCAGTGTGGCAAGAACCTAAAGGTGCTCTGGGCAAGTGTCACAGAGAGACCCAATCTCTTTTTCCTGCATCCCCTGGTTGACTTTAGTCACTGTGGGACTTGGAACAAACATATCAGTTGTTTCTCTAGGATTGCACCTGCAGGGAAATAAGGGGGATTCAGTTACCATTTTCTCAGTTTGTTTGTTTTCTACATGACACTTGGTGCCACTGGCTGCTACACTTTACAATTTGGTTAAAGGCTGTGGGTCTAGCTCAGTACTGTAAGGCTTCAGGGTAACTTTTTAGCACTGGGGTAGATTAATGAGCATTTAAATTGTTAGAAGAAGCCAATTCCTGCATCTAAGACAACAACAAAACGTAGCTTCCAACCCTATGTTCATCCTCTCTTGAAACAGTTTTCTTGTCTCTTAGGTCAAAGTTCTAACAATCTAGGTGTATTTATTTGACTTTCTTAAGCATCTAGAGACTTTTTTGTCCTTGCTATAAGTAGTGCATTGCCTGTAGGAGAAGAGTGGGCTAGCCCAGCTCTGTCATTGAGAAGACGCCACTGTATGAAGAGCACACCGTTATAACAGTCATTGGGGAAACTTCACATTGGCACTCTTTGAAGTTTGCATTCAGCAGTTTCATAAGGCAGTTTTCCAGATCATCACTTTTTCTGTACAGAAAGTTGTTCCTAGGAATATTTATAACATAGGCCTCTGCCTTTTCTAACATAGAATTCTGCCTCTGTCTAAATTACCTGTGTTTGGTTTTTCAGCCCTTGTCCTCTGGTCTGTCTTACTGCTTTTCCTAAAGGACAAGCAAGCTGACTGATTTGGGGATGGCAGCTCTGTTTCACACAGGTCACGGTGCTGCTGCATAACCCTCTGGCGGTGTGTAATCATAAGCAAGGATGGCTTTCTGGATGTCTCTCAGGGGTCTTGACCAATGTTTGGCTACCTGTAAGCAGTCTGAGTACATGGTAAATCACTGTTAGAGGCTCAGCTGATGAAGTGATGCATGCAGTAAGACCTGCCTTCTCAGGGCTTTCTGTTTCAAACAGAGAGAGGTCCTTGGCATCACAGGCTGGGAGGTGGGGCTAATGTGGCCTTACCTGCTGGGAGGCGGGGTTAATGTGGCATCACAGGCTGGGAGGTGGAGTTAATGTAGCATCACAGGCTGGGAGGTGGAGTTAATGTGGCATCACAGGCTGGGAGGCTGGGCTAATGTGGCACAAGCTGTGAGGTGGGGTTAATGTGGCATCACAGGCTGTGAGGTGGGGTTAATGTGGCATCAGAGGCTGGGAGGTGGGGTTAATGTGGCATCACAGGCTGGGAGGCGGGGCTAACGGCATTCCCTTGTGGCTCTTACATTCTTCAAATTTCAAAGCATGGTTTGGGATATTACCAGAGGAGATTATGGAATGGAAAGTCGAATTATTTGTGTTCTGCTACCAGTGTATAGGAAGTTCTGTCTGTGAGTAGGAACTCCAGGGTATTTCATTAAAAACAGAAATTTAGGAGCAAGTTCATACCCTCTGTAAGTCCATTTCTTGAGGTCAATATACATCAACTTAAACTCTGACTTACAGGTTGTCATTTGCCTACCCAGAAGAAAGGTATGTTTCTGGTCCACAGAGCAATTCTGTAACTTAATTGCTTTCCACAGTAGTTCCCCTTTCTCTCACAGAGACAACAGACTTCTCCTTCCCTCCTTCCCATCTCCTTCCCTTCTTCCCTCCTTCCTTCTCTCTCTCCCTAGGTGCCCCCCCCCATCAGTTCTAGTGCTTGAATTTCAAAAATATCTTATATTGGTGGCTATTCTGTATCTTTGCAGTATACCACTTAGTCATTTAAGTAAAATACTGAACAACTACTAGATGTGTGTGTGTGTGGGTTGGTGCTGGGGTGCTGGGGTGCGGGGGTGCTGGGGTGCTGAGGTGGTGGTCCTATTCCTTCTCTTCTTCCTTCTCTTCTTTCCTTCCTTCCTCCTTTCCTTCTTCCATTTTTTTTTTTTTTGTTGGAAATGAAGTCCTGCTATGTAGCCCAGGTTGGGCTTAAACTAGATGTCTACAGTCATACAAGTACTTTCACTTAAGTGATTGTATTTGATTTTCACAGCAGTGTTCTATAACACATGGCATCTGTGCTGTGTAAATAAAGAATGGGTGTCTTAGGTCAACTGAATTGAAAAAGTCATAAAAATTGAATTTTCTCTGATAAATTTCAAAGAATCTTTTTTTTTTTTAGTTAAAAACAAACCAACCCAGCACTATAAAGAAGGTGGTAAAATTGCATTGAATATTTCTGTAGCATTGAATTAGCTTAGCAGGGTGTGTAGACTTTGCATAGTGGTATGTAATTTCTTACCAGATTTCCTCCTCTTATGGACTAATCCAGAATAAGGCTTTAAACAGACTCACACTCAGTTATGATAGTAGAACTTTGGAAACAAAATAAATGCTCAACAGTAGTACTGTGAAAACTAAACAATTTGTTCTCCATTCTTGATAGAAAATGTAGGTGACGTAAGTAAACCATTCAGGCTGTAACATAGCATTCCTATTCTCACTTTATATGAGTCCTATGTATAAAGAACGGCCAGGGAGAACTCAGGAATGATCGCTGGATTAGTTCGTGAGGATGGTGGGTGTTTTTCTTCTTTCCCCTCTGTATCGACAAAGTATGTGCCCTGGTTGGTTTACATACTCGGTGAGCAATACTCATTATCTCTGAGTTTCTGTGTTTCAGGATCCTAAGACTGTTCTCTGTGTAGCTGGGGACCTAAAGGTTCTTCTAGAGGATCTTACAAGGGCTTTGAGTGTCAGCTGCCTGTGTTCTTATTAGGAGGCTCAGGCTGGGGATGTCTGCTCCTGGGCTCAGGCTATTGGGAGAATTCATTTCAGGGTCCCACAAGACTAGAGGCCACCTTCTAGTCTTGTGGCTGCCAGAGTTTCCTGTGTGGTCTTATGCATCAGTTAGTGACATGTGGCAATTTGCTTCTTCAAGTCAATGCAAGTGTTTCTCTCCAGTCCAGGAATCTACTGTATTACAGTTTTCAGTGCCATTTGTCAAAAGCTTACTACTTTTTAAAGGCTGGGTAGCTAGACTAGTTTGATCAAAGAGTTGTAGGTTCAGAGGGGAACTCAATATGTAAGGTGGAGCATGATCATGGAGGACCCTTGATGTCTACCCTTGAAGTGTGTGTGTGTGTGTGTTCACACACTCATCAAGATCACATCTGGTTGGGCAGTCTCCATTCATCCTAAGAAGAGGCTACATTCATCCTAAGAAGAGATTATTATAGTTTTCATTATGCAAATTTCTTTGTTCAGGATTCAGTATCTGTCAGGGTCATGTAATAGTGGAAGGTTTGAGCAAAGTACTTCTTATTAAATTACCATTATCCTTGTTAATTCATATTTCTAAGCCAGAAATACAGAGAACTTCTCTATGTAGTAATGCTGACATAATATTTTGGGGAGGTGACTAAATTCTCGACACTAGATTTTATGGATACATTTGCTCAGGTGAATGATTGTGACCTTACTGAGGCTGCCTTGTAGGGGCTCCTCACTCTCCTTTGGTAGGTGAGGACATAGACGCACAGAGGGTAAGCGACTCGCACAGCGTCCCCATGGTAAGGTCAAACGTGACTTTTGTTCATTCACATAAAGCCAGTGCCACGCTCTTAGCCACTCAACTCTGTTGCTTGAAGAGAAAGGGGGTGATGTAGAAAATACTCAGGTCTAAGTTGGTGGAAGCCCAGGTTTGGGTTCCTGATTGAGCTGGTGTAGAATTGAGCAGACCTCCATCCCTGTGTGTAAGTAATGTAAATTATATGTATTGTGTAACATTAGAAAGATGCCTCATAGACCATCAAGTGTTTCTTAATGTCAAGTCCGTATTGCTTCCTCTTGGTAAGCCATAATATCTTTTAAAGTAAACACTGAGATGGTTAATCCAGTCAGCCAGGTATTTGATAGGTCCCGTGCCTTCCTGTAG